ATGGGGTGAGGTGGTGAAGAAGGGGCCGCTCCCAAGAAGTGTGTTTCCCAAGACTGGACATCGTCATCTCACTGAAGGGGCCCCTTCTTTGTGATGATGATGATGATGATGATGATGATGATGATGATGATGATGATCACGGAAAACCAGCTTGCCAAGAAGTGTCGGGGTGGTGACTGGAGATGACGGTCTCCATGACTCACTCCTTGGTTCTTAGACCGACGCAGGAAGTACTTGTATATCTGGATGTTCCTGCACCTCTTACTCTGTTTTGGGGGGATCCGGGGGTTAGGGACATCCCACTAACCCACTAGTCACTAGTTCAATGGACAGGCGGAAAGTTCCTGTTCACCTTTCTTTCCAGTGGTGGGCAGAACGGGATGCCGCTCGCGAGAGGACCCGTTAGTGGCGCACCTCACGTGTTTCCCACAAGAGGCTTTGCTGCAAGGGTAAGCGGTGGGTGCACTTGGCGACTTCAGTTGGTGATTTTCCAAGCAGTGCTAAGGGGTACAGTAATATGGTTCCAAGCTCACTTGGTAAGTGAGACCTTGTTGTAATTGGAGGGATTTTGTTTCTTTCATGCGGATATGAACAATACTGGACAGATCCAGAGTTCATCCCAGTCTCCACTTAATTACCAAAAAGGCAGGAATTAGGGTTTCCAGACAGTCTACCTTTGAGCTTTTCTGGAGGGTCATGGAACAAAACCACCAAACATTCCCAAGGGAAGCTGTCACGAGTGTCGGGAGCAGCAGCCATGACACTCTTCGACATCATGGGCGTTCACCTTTTTGTGAAACTCTGGATCAGGCGTTCACCATGAATCAGGCGGAACAGGTAACTGAAAAGCTCAGCAAAGAGATAATATGACTATACATATATATATATGTATACATAAACATTATATAATATTATAATATACCCATATACCCTTTCAATCTTTTCACCACTACACAATGAACAAGCCTTTTTCATCGGACTCTTCTTTCAATTTCGTCCACCTTTCCGTGACCATTTCTTTCACCTTCCTTTTGTTGGACGCCAGAAACCACGCTTCGCACGCTGGGAGCCCTTAAGGACAAGATCAATTCTGATCAGTTCGGCCCGGCCCTCGGAGGGAGGCGGAGGGACCGACCCGGTCAGTGGACGGCTCAGCCCAACTCGGTTGGGTCCCGGCTCCGCCTGACGGTGCTGCTGGTTGACTTCCAAGAGGAGAGAAGGGTAACCAACCACTTGACATGAGAACAAGAAGGGCATATGGTAAATCATGACATGCTTGTAATTATATAGACCATAAACTGTATATAAAGCACACGCGTCTTGCCCAAAAAACCTAATTACTTGGTTTGTCAGCTTCGATCCCTTCCCTGAAGGCACAGCCCTGATGGGTGTTTAGCCTTTCAGCCCGACTTAGGCGGCAACATCTCCCAGTTGTTTGAGCCGGGGAAGAACGCCTCCTACTGGTACGGCACGTGGGGGCGCCGAATCCCTTTTCGATTTGGTGGAGAGCAGGTTGGAGATGGCATAGCACCCATTTAAGGGTGGGGCGTATAATCTCTGAGTCCGTTTTTTTGTTGGTTGTGCCGGAAGGGGGCAGGGGGTGACCTCTGCGTTTGTGCAGAAAAACCTCAAGTTCTCAAGGCAATCGGATCGTGCTTCTGTCGTCTGCGTGGTCCAGAGAAGTTGGGTGAATGTTGATGAGGTGCCGCTGGAAAGAGGGCGACTTGAACATAAAGCAGGGATCCACCCTATTTTGCAGTGGAGCTTGTTTGGTTGTTTGGTTTTTGTGGCGGGAAAGTGGCCTGCTGGGAGCCTTGACACTCAAGTTGAAAAGTTCAACGAAGCCTTCAGACCACCAAGGTGGAGCACCTGACGTAGATCACCAGGTAAGTTTGGGTGTCTGTGTTATCAACAAAGTTCACCCTGAGGTAGACCGCCAGGCCATGGTGAAGCCTTTAGAGATCCAGCTGCCTCCAGTCCCCTTTCGGATTTTGGTGCCCGAATTTCATGTGGCTCACACAATTCCTGGAACTCGCATGCAAGTGGAGTTCATTTATTCACCTTCTGTTTGTATTTGTATTCTGGATGAACTCGGGGTCTTCCATCTCATTCTCGGGGCCAATTTGCGGTTCTCCACGCTCCGCTGTGCGTCATACCGGGCCACTTTTCGGGTGTCGCGTGCGGACGTTCGAACGTGACGTGGAGCATTGACGTGGGAGGCGGAAACTGAAGTCCCATGGATTCCAGCTTTCAAAGCTAACTCAAAGGAGGTTTGTTCGTGCCAGTAAAGAATCTTAGTGACTTAGTACATCTTCTTTAATGCGGCTTGCATTCGCCTTTGCTGAACACTTTTAGAATCAGACGCTAGCCGTTGAAGAGTTGTGTGAATCTTCTCATTAGCAAACGCAACCTTGTTCATCCACTTCCACTGAAGAACAACCTGACTGGAAAAATTTTTGACCGAATTGCTGTTGAACCTTCATGGAACCTGGTCACTGAAAAACCCGAACAGGACATCACAGGAACACCACCACCTTCGACTCACTCAGGCCTGACTCGCTACTCGATTGCGCCAATGAAGGCGCTTCGCGACCCGTTTGGGCCAATCAGAGCCACAGCTGCTTCGGAAAGGATCTTCTGTGTGCGATACTCATTCAGATGATTCCGGGTGACCTTTCCTAAACCAACTCACTATAGTGTCACTAGTGTAGACTCGACTCAGACTGTTATATCTTAAAATCCTCCTTATGGATATGTTTTAAGTTTTGCAATCCCCATGTTTGTTTTGTTTATTAACAGCCTACCTTAATTAGCTTTGGCCGAGAAGTTCCTTCTACCGATATACAACGGGTGTGTCAAAAGTCCCCTGGCCATTGGCTTTTGTCCATCGATAGAAGCAGATCCGCCCCGGAACGTGGGATTGAAGTCACGCAGTGAAAAACAGCTCGTTGGTTGATATATCTTGATATCTTTCCTAAACTTTTGATTCATGATTTTGTTTGTTTGTTTGTTCTTTAATACCATCCCGATCCCGATGTTATGGTTGAAGACTCTTTGGGTAGAAGATTTGGACACAGTGCCTGTATGCTCAATCGAGAACCGCCGACCGCAAACCACTAATAGCCATGATCATCATGGTAGTGAAGAATCTCCCGCCCAAAGGGGTATGTTCTTGAGCATGTCCAAGCACTTGAATTCCCAAGGCACTCGCCATGCATCAGGAGATGCTTTCCCACCATGGCCGGCACGACCTCCCTTTGGCACATGAGCAGACGAAGGGACGATTTCCTTCTTCGCGCCTTTCCGCGGCCAGGCTTCCAGATCCCAGAGTTGCATGGTGCCTGTGGCAACATCTCCAACACCACCGACAGGTGGGAATGATACAGAACACACAGCGAGCTGCGACACGCTCGCGCGTGGATGCGGGAGGGGGTTTTGGCACATGGATTGGATGTGGGCACCGGATCGCAGATATGGGGATGGATGGCTGTGGTTCATGGGGATGAGGGGTGTGTTGGAAGGAAAAGCACGCATTGTACAGTTGTTGGGGGAGTTCCAGGAACCTCTCTAACTTCAGGCCATTTCTGAAGTGTTGTGTTTTTCCTGAGATAAAGAGCTATGGTCAAGTTGATTCTGGTTTGTTCACCTAAAACGCTTCATCGTGTTGTTGCTGTTGCTCTCCCACCAAAGGTGGGGGACTTAGGGACTTGTAAAGGGGTCAAAGGCTGCTAGTCTTCTCTCGTCTTGTGGATTGAGTTTGTGGATTCTAGTTTGAATTCATCCAAAGTCTTAGAAGGGACTTGGGAAGAGTTTTACCCAAAGCTTTCCACCCAAGTGTGAACAAACGACACCCAAATCATCCAAAGACACTTGGGAAGACTGAGCCAACGCTCTGGCTCGAGGCACTTGGGAAGACGGAGAATTCACCGGGACAGGTACAGTAGTCTTCCAAGTGACCTTTTTCCACTTCCATGTTGGTGAGTCAGAGTGTTCCAAGAGCACACCTATTCCATTTCTCATGGAATCTCATGGATTGAGCATGCAGATTAATACAGAATATATAATTAATTACATAAAAATAATTTGAACATACATCAACATCAAAACCCCCAAAAAGTTCAATCACCCAGAAAAGTGAGTGCTCATCGTCCTTCTGACGGTTTTAGGCGACGCTGTGGTCTTTTTTGGCCTTGCGTGAAGCGCCGGTCGATCGATCGCCTTCGTGTTCCGATCCGGAGTTCGGTGCCCGGAGGCCCAAGCGTTCCATCAACATTTGGACCTTGGATCGACGATTAGCACCCTTGGGGCAGGAACCAGCTCGCGCGCGCGCGCGCGCGAGCGAGCGAATGAACGAACGAACCGAGCGAAAGAACGCAAACCTTGCGGTGGGAGGCTGCAGATGCGGCTTGGAGCATTTGGGGAGGTTTTGACATGAAAGAGTGGGAGGAAGGAGGTTTGTAGATTTGCATCATGTTCTTGGCAAACCAGCTATTCGGCAGGCTAAAGAGCTTAATCCACAAATCCATACGAGCTCACCTCGTCAACGAAGACTTGCCATGAACATGCTCCGTTTTTTTGTTCAAGGCAATGCACCGCGTACTTTACATTTCAAGTGTACTTCCCTACAGTAAGTGAGTAGAGGCATTCAGGAGTAGATAGAAAAGGCCTTGTTGTATCAAACTGTACATTTGTATACGTCAAAGTCAAAGTCGGAAGCGCCTTTCCTCAGCAGTACACAGTCATGGAGCAAGCCTAGGGGCCACCTGGACCCTGCATCAGGCGTTTCCTGGAGACAAGTATCGTGCTCAGAACCCACCTGTCACGGTCTAAAAGCTACATCAGCTACATTTTGGAGGGTCCTGGTCCTGGTACATATAAATCTTCAGCAAGGCAACTTTCTATGAGGTCCAGTAGGTTCTTTCCCTTCTCAGCTGGTTTGTGATGGCAGCATCGAAGTCCCATCAGCTGAGTGTGGATGACTCGAGGAGCTGACTGGAGTGATGCCTGCCAAGCAAGATGCCGCCGGGGGCGCCTAGAAATGGACAAGGTTGCAGGTGTGTAGGTGGGTGGATGTGGGTGCGGAGTCAGTGACCCTTTTCCGAGTTGAAGCTCAAGCGGACGATGGATGGGGCTAACTCATCAATCCCCTCTTGCCTCTTGTCAGAAAAAAACTCCACCCTTCCCGGTGGTGCAGTCGACATGGACATGTGGCAATGGCCACTGGATGACCTGCTAGGATGAACGAGAGGCTTTACATCTCCATATGGGAGGGGGTTATGAATCAAGTCTACATTAATATTATAACCGTTCTGATATCATGGACCCACAGGTGAAAAACTTTCCCACACAATTAGACACATTCCAAACCGCCTAGCCACTACGTACACCCCCGCCCCCCATTAACCAATGAGTCAGGAGTGGGGACACTGCATCATGCTGAGCCAAAAGCATGGATACGTCAGGACCGAGTGACTCTTGCAGCCAATTAACCAGTTAATATTTGGTCTCTCCTCATAAATCAACTCTGTGCTGTATCACTCAACACGGGCCCCGGAAATTCCATTGGAGTCCGGTGCCCCGGCTATGGCCAGAAGCGATGCTGTGACCAAAGGGAGTGAAAAGAACCAAGCTGCGCCGCACTTGCTTTGGACCAATTCAGCAGAGTTCTTTCGCAATTATAGATTAATTATCTTGGCGGCTAAAAGACAACAATTTTGCACAATTAGAATGCCCTATGTTTGAGCGCGACTGACAGCGACTGAATCTGTTTTGGGCCGAATCCAGTCAAAAGAAGAGTTGTTTTGCCAAGAAAGCCAGAAACAACTTTTGACGTGTATGCAGCCTTTTGAATTGAACAAATCACAGTTTTTTTCAATCAGAGATCTTCCTTTGTCCATCATCTGCTGGACCCTGGTCAACAATCTTTCAACTGTCAAGTATCACCGGTATTTAGTAGATCATCCCAATTTGAGTAAACAGAGAGTTTTTGGTATCAAACCAGGTGTTTAGACTCAACAATCTTTCACTGGTGTTTAAACCAAGTATCACGTGTCAGAAGAGTTTTTGGCTTCTTCGTTGTCCTCGTTTCTGGGAGTTGACATGTCTCGGATGTGTCGCTTCCTCGTTCGTGCTCGCGCGCGTGAAGCTCGAAGCGGTGCTCGTGGCGTTTCGCCCAGTTCGCAAAGATCTTGGAGGGAGAGAAGGGCTTCAAGTTGGATGGCCCGGAAAACATCGCGAAGGACCTGTGAACCCTTGCCATGAGAAATTGAAGACTCGTTTCGGCAGACAGAGCCCTAGATAAACCAGCATTTGGAAAGACTGAGCCGAGGGTCTAGACTTGAAACAAAGCTGAGAAGCACACAGTGTGTTGTTTTTTTGTTCTGCATTCTGTTACTCAGCAAATCATTGTGGTGGCCAAGGGATTGCGATAGAGTCCAACCTGAATAAGACTTCAACCATTTGGGTCTTACAACATTCTTTTTGAGTCCTAGGATGGTGTTTCCTTCATGTAAAATCAGCGCAACCCGATTCCTGAGTGAACATGCCATTTGTGACATCCATGGGAACGCACGAGTGTGAGAAAACATCTAAGGATGGATTGAAGTCCCCTGACTGTGTTGACTATATATTGGCTGTTAACAATGGGAGGTGAACAATCAGCAGATTCAGATCCCTTCGAACTGGGGTGAGACAGTACATTGCATGTGGGTCAAAACATAAGAACCGATCGGGTCATTCTGACCTTGAAGAAAAGAATAACGACTCGGAGACGCCAGCGATTTGCGAAGCAGTCAGAAACACCTCGATGTCTGCCGGTTTCGGGACTGGGGACTGGGTACCCAGGACCTGCTTAACCATGCTTAACTGCTTAGTCTATAATGACCTATTTTGGAGCACCAACTGTCACCAACTGCGGCATTTCTTAGATGTTTTCCGGTTCAAACAGAGGTCAAATGTGGATCTACACCGCATTTGATGGCCCCAATCACTGTTTATCTTGATCCATCTCGACAGGATGTTGTCTTAAACTCTTTGTTTGCTCACAGTGGTCAAAACTGACCTGCTCAGGTTCACACTGCGAGCTCGAGATCCGTTGGATAAGAATGTGCCACGTGGCCGCCGAACGTGTTTGCTGGAGCGGACCTTCGGAAGAGCTACCAGGCCACCATGAAATCAACTTTTATGTTATTTATCTCTTCAAGAATCAAGAGACCAGTAAAGTCAGGTACGATCCAGGCTTGTTGCAGCGGGTCTTGAGAGATTCGCGGCGCTTTTGAGGGATTTTCATGGATTTTAGGAGAGATTCGCCGTTAGTTGGTTGAGAGATGTGCGGCCAAGGGTGAGAGATTTGGACTTCCAAGAAATCCGGACAATGGCACGACACCTGGACCTCATGGTTTGAGAAATCCGCATGGCGTGTCAACTGATGTCTCCTTCTCTCTCCACAGAATGGACATGTCCATCCAGGATTCCCACGAAGCTGAGAAGAACCTGAAGTCTCAAGCAACAAAGTTTGTAAAATTCGATGAAGAACTCAAGGGCAGCTCTCATGGTCCCATGGCTAGTTGTGTTTCTTTTTTTTTCGGGATGTTTCCTGCTTGTGGTAGATCCTTGAAGGTCGCAATCTGGGGCAAAAAAGACATGGTTTCCAAAGTTTGCAAAACCTCAATGGTTGGGATGGTGAGGGTGTTTGTGAGCTTCACGAACTACACTTGTCTACACAAAAAATAGAAGAATCACCTGTAGACTTGAAGATCTGCAGGTGATGTCTTTTTTATTGTAAGTTCATTGTTTTGGGATTCCTTTGGTTCCTTCCAACTCTATGTCCTCTAATTCCCTCCTACCCACCCTCAACTGGCTCGCCAAAAGCCACCCGAGCCGCCGCTCTAAGGAAGCGCTTCCAGTACCTGAAGGCGGGCCTTTTCGGCCGGGGCGTCGTTTCGTTTGTGGTGCCGTGGCCCGTGGCACCTCCGCGGCGAAGAAAGCAGAACGACTTATATACTGTATAGATATAGATGGTGGTTGTTAACATATATACTGTATATAGAACCTTTTGTATAACATATATATCCCCGTCGGCCCGTCGACATTTCCTCTATGAAATGGGTGGGCGTACGCCCCGTATACGGGTGATTTTTTGTAGAGAACCTATGTGGGTACTAAATTAGACACCCTGCATTTTGTAAAAATCACTATGGTTAAGGAGCTGCTTGTTTTGCACAAGGTCTCCTTGGAATGTTAACGGGGATACATATACATATATATGTTATATATATAAGAGTGTATATATAGAACTTTATAGAACCCTCAAGGGGAAACTTGAGCAATGAATCGGTTGGACTTGAGCCAAGAATCATATAAATCCAACCACACGCCCGAAAGCTAACATGGACCCTGACAATGGCCCCCCGAAAGATGGTTTTCCTCCGAGCAACCAGTGGTCTTGGGGTTCCATGTTATATAATCTGCAGGGGAGTATACTTCTTAGAAGACTCTTGCTTCAAATCCCAAGAGGCACCAAGTATGGCCACTAATGAAGCCACTGCCTGAACTTTTTTGGAGCCAGTTCCGCGTTTTCGGTGTTTTGGAGCACCCCAGATCCATCCAATTTGGCCTCCGCGAAGTGTGTCACATCCTCCGAGAAGTTGGTTTTCCTGTCAGATCAGGGCCCTGGGCCCTGGGCTTTCGGATTGCACCGGAGGACCGAGGATGGATCGATGAGCAGGCTCTGTCGTTGGAAGCCAAGGCGGGGCCCAGCTAGGTGAGGTTCGAGGACCAAGAAAGCAGGATAAGGTGGCTTTGATGCTTGGAACATGGTGTGTCTCTATGCTCTCTGTACCTTCTGGGGGGGCTTCCATCATTGCTGGGTTTGGTTTCTGTTCGATACATGTTTTCTACTAAATGTCTTGTCAAGTGTGTTGTCAGTGTTGTCTATGAGGGGTTGACTGACATCAGATGACGGTGGCAGCTTTTTTTGCGCACGTCCACTTGCATGGGATTGGTGTCGTTGAGGTGAGGAGAGGATGGTTTCCGTCCCCATTCCGAACCCTTCAGAAACCATGCACTTTTGTGCACATCTGAATCTGATACAGTGTATCTTGGGTGATCGTGCTGGAGCTGTGTGGGGGATTGATGATAGAACCTTCCCGATCCAGTTGGCAGGGGATCCTTTTGATTGTGTGCCTGTGGATTTCATCCTTGATACACTGCAATATCAAGATTGAGCTTTTGGTTGTCCTTTCAACCATTGCTTTGCACCGTCTCTTTTCGTTCCGCAGAGAAAGCTTGTGAACTCGGCACGAGAAAGGTGGTGGCCTACAACTATCAGCTGGCGCAGGGCTCAGTCTGTCCCATCTAATTGACTGTCGCACTTCCCTAAATCGTTATTCAGGCTGTGGAAGTGAAGGTATCAAAGTGCTTGGGAAAAGGATGAATCGACGACCATCGATGGTCCATGTGCAGCAAACGACGCAGCAAACTGTGCCCTGAAATTCCAAATGGTCTTTAGCTGACCGGAAAAAGGAGTTTCCCTTACTGCGGTGGGGCCAAAACTTGTTGAAGTGGACTTCTAGAGGGTATGCCCTGCAGCCCAAAACCCACTTTGGACCATAGACTTTTGCCTCTCGGGAGACCGAGATTAACAAACATCGCGCCAAGGATATCCCGCGCTTGCTGAAAGTGCAGTTCAACTTTTACTTCAGTCGGCAGCTGAGAGATTCGACTTCGAGTCATTTTCTTTTGGCATGGGGTGTTGTTCCTTTGTGGGGCACCGCTGATCCGCCCACAACGGACACATCGCATGTCTTCGCAGCTTCAAGTCTTCGAATACGAAATCGAATTGCACACGCCGCACGTTCGCTGCTTTGCAGAGAGCCGGAAGGCCTTTCTTTGGAACCATGACACTTGAATCATCTCTGATGGACCCCCGAAAAGGGTCAGACGTACGTGGTCCCCCCATCGAAAAGGTGTTGAGGATCGAACCTCCCTTCGATCCTCAACACCGATCTGCCAAACCCAGTCGTCGTACCCGCCGAGAGGTCCCAACGTCCAGCGATCTGCAACCCTGGCGATTTGCAGGTCGTGGTGGTGGCATCTACACCACACAGAAGATTGAGGCTCCTTTGATCTGCCCAAGAAGGGGGGGGGGGTTTCGCCCGGTAGCCCCCAGTTCGGCCAGGAAGTGATGATTTGGATCCCCAATAGAGGACCCTAGTGGCCCGAGTGGATTGTGACCCGGTGAGGGTTGCAGTTGGCCACGGAGGCCATGATTGCTGTCCGGACGAAGGCCTTCGCCAGCCAGACCTCACGAAACCTGATAGACCTTCTTCATCCCACAGCCCCATGCCACTTTGAATCCGATGGATGCAGATGACAGCTCCATGGGAGGTGTAATGAACAACCTTTCATGAACTGTCCATCTAAATAATATAATTCTAATATCAACCAAGGAATATCTCTCTTCCAGGATTGAGCAGGGATGAAGGAACCTTTCCCACCCAACGCTTCCACGACCTCGGTCCCACAGTCCTCGGTCCCAGTCTTCAGACGGATCCATCGATCCGGCTGAGAGGTGGCGACCTTAAAGACTTGGCCCAGACACAACCGAGCATTGCTCCTCTTCGTGGATTGCGTCTTCTTCTTGATGTGTCTCTTGGCCAAGCCTGGGAGATGAAAATGCCTGGGATATGCCTGGGGACGTTACAGGCTCACACGTGTTTGAGCCAGAAGTCAAAGGTTTGGCATACCAGATGTGAAGGTTCCTCTCCTCTCACCCAAAAATCAGCAACATGGATGGACAAAGTGCTTCCTGATGCCTCGGAATAGCTAGGGACCTAGGTGACCTGCAGAAGTTCCATTCAAAACCATCGGCCGGCGGGGCAGGGTGCTGGCACGGCTTTCTGTTACTGTAGACGGTCAGAAGCCGGGGGAATGGGTGTTTCATTCCACACTAGCTGACTGGTGCTTACTTAGTAAGGAATGAGGGAAATGAGTGGTTATATAGTAGAGTCTCTACTATTCAGGGCTCATTCCCTCATTCCCTGCTTTCGTCGCACCAGTCAGCTAACATTTGCGTCCCTGACCGCTGAGGCTTAGCATCCTCGGCCTTCATGGCGTCTTGGCCGGATAAGACCTGGACCGGGGTGGCGTCACCCGGCGACGCTCGAGCGGTTGGGTTTCGTGCCCGGAGCGCATGGAACTCGGGGGTGATAGGTTTTGAATTCCTGTGCAAGCCTGCCACATCTACATGGCCAAGATGCACAGTTTGTAGATGTTATTATATACTGTACTTAATAGATGGTTGGGATCCAGAGAAGGATGATCGAAAGCTTTGATGTGCTACCCCTCAATGCAAAAAAGCCAAGCGCCTTGGTGTTCCCTCTTCATCCCCACGTACTCAGTATTTAGCACACTTTACATTCCTGCTCTTCCACCTCTCAATGCCCCACCTTCTATCGGTTAGCTTTAGCCTGTGTCAGAGGGGGGTTATGGGAAAATACACACATTTGAACCTGACATAGGCTACTCGGCCAATTCTATGACCCAACGGTCTCGCTAGCTCCACCAAGGCCCGGGAGTTTCAGAAGGATCTGAAGGCGCCCAGCTCCGCGCCCGCTGGCCTTTCCTCTTTGGGATCTTCCGGGGTCGGTGTTTCGTGGGCTTTGGCGTCCAGTGAGGAGTCGTGCAGGCAGAATGAGGGACCATCTATATAGGGATATCTGGGATATCTGGGGTATGTTATTCCTATGATCCATGATATAAAAACGGATCCAGTGATCCAGATACTAACTGATATGATCCATAGACTTATTCTCAACTGATTCCATGATTCCACCTCCGGCCGGGGTGGACGTTTCGGGTGTTTGGATCCAGGGGAGTGAAGCTTCCCTCAGTCCCTAGGAGTTGCACAATTCAAAAGGTCCTTTGAACTCACACCATTCGCTGGTTTTCTGGAAGACAGCTCTTGAGAAAAGAGCGATACTTCCCTACAAGACCCAGTAAGACCCCTGGTTGCTAGGAGAAGATCCGATTCCCAGCATCCAACAGGTCTTTTCTACAAAGGTATTTTTTGACCCCTAAGAGGTCGCAATTGGTGACCTCTTGGAGGGTGCTGGGTGCTGGACATTCCTTTCGCGGCTCGTGAAAGCAAGCAGCAAGCAGCTTCGCAGCTTCTGTTTGTTGCGGACCGCAACGGGTTCAGGGCACCCACCCGGACGGTTGGGTTTCTCTCATCCGAAGAAACCACGCCGAAGACTTGGGGAACAAACAAAACCGCAGATCGGCCGAAGACTGGGCACCCTCCACGTGTTTGTTCGGTTTTTCATGGGTTTTTCTGTTTTTGGTTTTCTTCGGTTTTCCAAGCGGCGGGGTGGGGGGCCTGGTGAAGGGTAGTCACCCGGGTAGTCCCACGTCGTGTGGGTGCTTGACCGATCCGTGGTGTCCTGGCATTCCTGGCATTTGAAGAGACACACCCTGCATTACATTGCAAGAGGGAGGGGCTATGGGCTCGTCAGGTATTACTTGGAGGATTTTGGCATCCAAGATTCCACCTATAAAAAGGAGTATATAATCACACTCACACTTGACTTTCAGTCATGTTGACTGTTGATGAATGGACACCCCCAAGTCTGAAGAAGTGAATGACAAACCAGGTAGGAAAGTTATTTGTATTCATGAACGGTCAATGCGTCATCGTCCTGATAGTCCTCCTCCTTCTGATGTAAAACCTCTCTCTCAAAACCTTTCCCTTCACAAACCTTGGACCGTGTTCCAGACCATCCTGGCCCGCACCAAAAGAAAAAAGCACCGCATGTGTTCGCTTTTTGGAGAGGCAGGGAAATGCTTTGGACACTTCAACATCATCAACACCATTACCTGGCTGAGTTGTCTTTTTGGCACCTCGGCCTTTCCCTCGCCGCTCTATTCCGCCAGAGCGGGATCGCCGGGATCGCCACCGGGGGCTTTTTTGCAGTCGTGTTTTACCGACCCCGAATCGGGTGTGCAAGAGGGAATGCCCCTCAGGGTTTTGACCATGTCCTTTCGCTGGAGGGAACATGAGGGAACCAAAGGTCTGACTATTCCAGTGTACACCCATACCTTTCTTTTGGATTTGGAGAGCATGGAAGAGGAAGGCGTTGTGCGAGCGTCAAGTTTTTTGACCTCCAATGGCCGATGTGCAGTGTATGACCGGTTTTTCATTGTTTGTTCTTTTTCATGATCCCCAAAGAGGCGGAACGTTTGAAGCGTATCAATGGAGTTTTGGAGCCTCGTGGTGAAATCCTTCGTTGCCGTCTGGGTGCGTCAAGCAAGAACCCCCAACACACCCATGGTGACTGGGTTGGGACCATGAGGTGTTGGTGGCCCCCGAAGGAACTGGCAGGCTGGTGGAGTGGCTAGCCATGTTGACGCTGCAAATGAAGGAGTGCAGAAACAGTTCCCCCAAACCAGAAACTGGATCCACGTGAACACACCTAATAACCCAGGAGCAAAAGAAACCTGGCAGCCTGAACTCGGCTTTCATTGTCTTTTGACATGTCAGTTTTTTCGCATTCGACTTTCGACGACTCTCAAGATGAGGGAGAATCGAGTAAGTCGAAGGAGCCGGACATGCCTGCTTTTCAGTCCCACAACATGAACAACAAATGGGTGGGTAGGTCAATGAAAAGACACAACCAACAGGTTTTGTTTGTCATTAATCCATTTCTTTTTTGGGTCTTTGGGAGATCTCTTGGCGCCGCTTGGGCACGGCCGCGGGTCACGCACGTGCGTGCGCGCCGTTGTCGCGCGGTGTGCTGGTTGGGGCGGCCGAGGATGGGCTCACCTTGGAATGCTCTTTGGTTTGGCCACTTGGCGGCTTGAATTCGCCCGAAGTGTGTAGCTGCTACAGTACGTTGTTTCGGCAGGCATGGAGTTTGGATGGACTGGATGGAGACTGGAGGTCACTGCTCTCTTTGTGAGCTTGCAAAGTCAGTCAAGACGACGGAGCTGAAATCAGTTGGATGGGTACCAAGGAAGTCTATCGAAAAATGGTCATGGCCAGCATCGAGGACGGAGATGTCTGATGGTGGGGAGAGATGCTGACAGGCACTGGGCGTTCATGGACTGGTTCTAGTCATATTGGTTTCTGCATCTTCGTGTATGCACACCAGGTCCATGGGCTTCATTGAGATTTGTTCCTTTTGAATCCTTTGGAGTTTTAAAGACCAACATGTTTGCCATGTATTTGGACTCTGGACATGTTCCTCACATTTTATGATCATTGTGTAAATGAGATGTTCATCGCTTCAAGTACATCAAGTATATATGTATATTCATGAAGGAGGCATGAGGCATGAGGCCTTTCTCTACTACCAGGGTTGACATTCAAACAGAACATGTTGTTCCGTTTTGTCGTGCAAATTTGCCAGCAGCCAAGTGACTTAAGTGGCGGACCTGAACAGCAGAGAGCACTGCATAACATGCACAACTACCCAGAGGATGGAAGGTTTCCATTTGCTGAAGGATTGAGGTTTCTCAATCATGCAGGTCATTTTGGATGTTCCGATCGCATTGGACCCAGATTCTTGCACTGGAACATGGTCCAGATCGAGGCTTCAGGAGACCCCCTAAAATCCTCTGGAAGAAGGGAAATGGACCAGTCTACCCATGGGTTGGAGACCTCCCTATTCAAATACCAGATGCTTTCTTTTGCGCTGCACAGCTTTTGCTTCGTGTCCGGAAGCACCTAAGCACCAGATCTTTCAACCGGTCTTTCTTCGGTCGTTCGGACCGAGGCCTCGACGAATTCGACCGATCACATGGAGATGTTGGACGTGTTTTCTGACTCAAAGCAGATTGGAGATGTCACATGATGTAACACCATTCTGGCCGAGCGGGGTGATCTCATTCTGTTTGAGGAATCAACAGTATATATATATATACATATATATATATACACCTTTACTGTGTACATGATTTAACTCCCCTCCTCCCTATACACACTACAGTCTTCACAGTGTAAGAGAGCTTCCGCGTTTTGCTCACGACACACGGTCGCCCTTTTTGGACCTCCCGTTTCCGACTGCTCCGGTCCTTCTGCTCCTGGGCCCCCCCACCGCGGTGGTCCACCCAAGCGCGGCGAGGACTACTTCGATTTCCCGGACACCTTCAGCACGCTGGCGGGGCTCCAAGTCGGGCGAGTCGGGTGCAGATGTTGGGCACAGGGGAAGGGAGGCACAGAAGAGTTTTTGGTGAGCGTCGTTATGTATAGCAGGCTTGGTGGTTGAAGGCCAAGCGATAAATCTAGAAGTCCTGTCCTCGCCGAGTCCTCGCAAGTGCTGTGAGGGTTTCAGGGGAGTGTAGGTGTTGGACATTAGGACAATCTTTTGATCAGCTGGAACTAACATGGAAGTGGATGGCATGGCATGGCCTCGAAAGGAAGAGCATTTTCCGAATACCAAACAGGGGGTGAACTCCACTCCACTTCCGGGAAAGCAGCCCGTTTTCATCGTCTTGGCAGCTTTGGGGGATGCGGTCGAGTCAATGAAACAGTCTATAATCCCAATGGCTCCAACTACCTCCTGAGAAAGTGTTTGGGGTTCAGTGCCACGCGGGTCTAAGACACCTTCTGAGGATATGGTTGCAGCCCTAGCGAATAAGAATCATGATGAATCATGTAGACTCTTGATTAATAACCCCCCAATCCAAAATAATCCAAAGGGGGGGTTTATCAGCGAATAGTCTACATGACCTTTCCCATGATACTCTACTCGGTCTGCCTTAAGCAACATGTGGTCTGTCTTCCACTCGGTGCCTGCCTTCCGCAGGAAGTGATGCGGCTGTCAGACTCCATGGAACGGGGCTCCCAGCGATGTGGGGCGGGACCGGGACCAACATCGCAAGTCCTCGGGGGTCAACACGAGAGCACCATCCAGAAGAGCTCAGATGTCACCAGAAGGCTCCAGGGTAGCACTTGCCCCACGTCGTCTTTTGCTGGCGACATGACCACCTCAGTAGCGTGTCGCTTGGGGAAGCGGCGATCCGAGCAAGGACGCGACGCACGTCCGACGGATCTGTCGTTGGCAGGTCGATGCCGGGGTGGAACGCCTGAGCCGTCCTTTACGTTCCCGGAAGTTGATCGGGCGATTTGCTCCTTCACATGTTAAAGCCGTTTTGGGGGACATATAGACTTGACAACTCTGCTGGGTGGTGGTTTCAGACATGCTTTCTTCAAGCTTTACTTGTATGATATATCTCATGGACAATTATACTTTTCAAGTGAGTTGAAACCACAGTCTGTGAAGGGCCATCAAAAACACTGGAGAGGATAACGCCGGCTCGCGTGGAGCCTCTGCCAGGCGGAGTTCTCGTCCTACCAGAGGATCTTCATCTCCTATGCGCACATCCTATTCATGTGGGGTGGCCTAGGGCTGGATGGTTTCCACACGGGGTGAGTGTGGAGAGTTTTGCATGTTTGTGTGCGCATAAAAGGTCGACGCCACCCCAATTTCGCGAACGTTGTTCTGTTCAGACCCCCTCCTCCCCTTCCCTGCTCATCGAAAATGGAAACGACTGAACAAATGGACCAGTGACCCTTTTCGTGGAGGTTCCCTGCGAAAGCCGGTGGGACTGGGGCAAACGTCTGCACGTTTATGCTGGGCAGCCAGGTGACGAACCGTGACACGATGCACCATGTCTCCCAGGATCGTCAAGTGGGCACGGCCAGCGCCGCTTTGCCCTGGACTGTCTTTCGGTATAGCTAGCTTTTGAAGATGAGGACTTTTGCGGTTGCTGGAACAATACGTAACTGGTGATGGCACTCATTGGCAAACAATCGCTTGTCATGATAATGGTTACTTACAATTAGAATATAATATAATGGAATATCGCCAACCTATGTAGCCCTCCCTCTCCTCCTACAGAGGGTATGGTAAACTAAACAGCCCTTAGAAATCTACTGTAAAGACCATCAGAGTATACCAGCCACTACGAAAAAACTGTCAAAAACAATAACCTGTTCAACCTCCTCAGAGGCCTCACAGCCTCACACTGCGACTCTACAGCCCCCCCTCTCAGGGCCAGATGCTTCTTGTCACTGCAGTGGCAGCCACGCTTGGCGATTATCACTTCCACCTTGCAGGCCTTTTCGACTGCGCGTGCGGGGGCGCGCGGAAGGTATCTGGAGGTCAGGGATCGGTGATGGAAAAAAGCACAAGGTGACTTGGTGGCAAGAACTTCCGAACGGGTTTGAATCGGTTCGAAGATGTGCCCCGTCCTAGTTCTGCGGATTCGAGGTGAACATCATACTCGAGACTGAATTAATCAGTTGCTTTGAAGATGTTCCAAGCCATGCTATTTGCTGGGTTGAAGGTTGAAGTGGGCTGAACAATGAAGGCCAAGAGGGGACACGGGCATATCTTACTGCGTTTGTCCGTTGTTTGGACCTTGACGGAGCAGAGAGGCGCTTTCATGCTTGGTGTCACACGAACCTGTTTCCTGACCGGTGGGAAGTTCCCAGACTCTTTTTAGGGCATGCTGCTTCCTTTCTGGTGTCCATATGACGCCCAACAGAAACCCAACATGTGAAGAATCCGGAGCAAGTCTTCGTCATTTCTTCCCCTTTTCGAGGAGAGCACTTTCCACAGGGGTGACAGCCCCAAGTGATTGGGGATGGACGATGGGATGATGTGGGTATATGGGGGTAAACTCAAGTAAACTCCACAACCAAAAAGCATAGAATCGGATGCAGGCTCAGCGCACTCTAGCAGATTTGGAAAAGGACTATGCTAAAACTATAACTATATATACCTATTACTGTAATTCCAACCTCTGGAGATCCTCATCGCCATCCAAACTCCTTGGGGTCCATCTCCAAAACTATCCCTACCGGTCCCAGCGTTCGCCCCTCAGTTGGCGCTTCAGGTCTCAACGGTGGACCTGCTGCACTTCTTGATTGCGCAGGGCTCAGCGACGGTCCAAGCGTGTTTCGTCCCTTCGGACGGACGATGAAAGTGCTGTGCTTGCTGCGGCTGTTGTGCAGTGTTGAAAAAGAGGATTCGACCACCCAGGTTCGACCCTTGCCAGGAAGAGGACAAAACCTATATATAAAGGTCAGGTGGTTTCGGGGTGGATCTCTGTATTCTAGGACTCAGCTCTTCATTAGGCTCTTGAAATGATACTCATGGTTCCAAGGGACACTCCCAATGCTTCAGTTGGAAGGAGCTGTCTCGCACTTTCTGGCAAGACTCAGCCACCATCCTCCTGCACCAGATCAGGTGGGGGATTGCTTAGTTTCTTCAGGTCCTCCCTGGGTAGCTGGAGAGGTAAACGAAGTCACAAGAAGGCTCGTCGTGCCGAACCGAAACATGATGAGAACGTCATTCTCTTTGGTGATCCTTGACGGTCAAATCGAAGAACCTCCCTTAAGAACATGACTTCTGCTGGTCCATGCATACTTGTTGAGGTGATCTGATTGCATGAGCTTTTTCTTGTCATTCACGTCTCATCTGCACTCATCTGGGTCGCCTCGATCTCCAGAAGGCCGTTGTTGTTCAGATCATGCAACCTCAAAGGCAGCTCCAAAACCGTAGGCAGCTCCAAAGAAGAAGACACCAAGTTGGACTCCTTAGTGGAAACCTGTAGAAGAACCCATCACTGGAATCCCAACCAATTGGCTGGGAGAGGAGTCTACCTACTACCCTCAGTAGCTACCTACTACCCTCAGTAGAAACCTATTCGGGACACCGCCGAGTTCGTGTGACCGGATGTGCCCGGGGATGCCACGGAAACCACGACCCAAAGGACTCCCACAGAGGAACCAACGCAAAAACCGGGGAGACATGGAGAGTCCGGGTCGCAAAGCTTTTTGGAGCCACGCACCAAGTCGTTCACTGTCTTCACCGTTTCAGTTGCTCAAGCCCCCCCGCAGGCGTTCAACATGTCCCTTGTTCGCCGGCTCCACCGCCGGAACTTGGTGGTGCTGACCCCTCAAACCTCTGTGCCACCGGCCTGGTGGCAACGTGGATGGGCCAGAAAACGAGTTGACAGCGTGGCGGAGGCAGAGTTGTTGGCTCCTTTAGCAGCACTGTTGATGCCAAAGACACCCATTGAGAAACTTTTCCGGAGCTTTCCATCACCCGCAGGGTGGGGTGGACACTCTTTGGAGCCTGATTTGACGGCTTATGGAGTGCTGAAAGATCCGAATGCAGCATTGTTTGTGGAATACGATGGATACTGGCGGCATGCGGAGAGGGAAGGCAGAATTAGAGACCAGAGCAAAAACGAAGCGCTTTTGGCATATGGGCCTCCAGGTTCGTGCGTGCTTCGCATCACTCACACCCATAGCAGAGGGCTAAAGGATCAGCTTGTGGAAATCCAGGTGAGCACCTGGAAAACCCGTTGCAGGGCATCGCTAGAAGATGTTTTGACAGATGTGTTGAAACAGATATCAAGGGGTCTTGACAAGATTCTTTCTCTTCAAGTGGCAAAACGTTTGGAGCTTGAAGCCAGCCGTGGGTCAGTGAGAGTGTCAGGAGGGACGGACATATTTGTTCAAAAGGCAATAGCTTCGAGGGGTGGCAACACATCGGAGGAAATTTCAGACTATTTGGAAGCCGAAGGATTCAGTAAGAAAGAGCTTTACCTGATCGATGAGCATGCATCTTTGAGTAGGACCTCCATCGAAGGCACGCTACAACCCAAAGTGCAATGGCTGTTGGACTTGGGGCTCAACCAGGCTCAAGTTGCGAAGGCAATTGCAAC